TGCCAATACCATGCTGTTTTTGTTACTATTGCTCTATAGTATAGTTTATGGTCTGGTATAGTGATGCTACCCTGCTTCACTCTTCCTGCTAAGGACTGCTTTAGCTATTCTGGGTTTCTAATTTTCCAGATGAATTTCATGACTGCTTTTTCTATTTCTATGAGGAATGCCATTGGGACACATAGAGATATATTATTCTAACTTTAGGTTGGTTATACATTTAACCAAAGACTGACTTCAACAATTATTTGAGTGTATAGGCAAATTGCACCTACTTCCTTTAAGAATACATTACAGAAATGTCAATCTCTGAGAATTCATCTTTGACCCATTTTCCTTTGTACTATGGAGTAGAAAGATGGAAGACTTAAGAGGGAATTTTTAAAGTGCTTCATTTTAGTATTTCCTACAATAAACCCTTCCAGGATTCTAAGTAAACTTTTTTGTTTTAAACATAGTAGATATTTTCTCATTTTAAAAATGAAATGATTCAAAGGAAAAAAAAATCTATATTATGTATATTCTTGTCATTCTAGTATTTTAAATTTTCTGCACTTCTTTGTATTTATTTAAATGCTAATCAATTATTGCATTATTATTATGTGTTCTAATTTTAAATCACTAATCAATTTTCCATGTACCTTTGGTATACACATATTCAAGAGCTGCCCCTAACTGCTAAACAATTTAATAATTCAGCAACTATCATTTAGATTTTTTTCCTATTATTCTAAAATTAATAATTCTTAATCCTTGAATTATTTCCTAAGTATAATTTTCTTAGTAGCAGAATAACTGAAATATTTGTATGGCCCTTAACAAATAACATAAAGTTATTTCCCTCAAAGTCTGTACCTATTGGCAATCAAGATAACAGTAGATATCTTTTAACTTGTGTAGTTTTAGTTTTCCCCTATGTTTCTTTACCTGAGACTTGCTCCTAAATACTCTTTCTCCTATTGTCTTTAAATGAGTTCCTTATGTAGCACACATTAATCCATGGTTGATCATACATTAAGAGAACATTTTCCCCATTCTAATTTTCCCTTTGATTTTCTACCATTTAAAGTTAAATTTTGGTCCCATATATCTGTCCTTCAAAATACGAAAAAAACTTTCAAAAGCCCTCAAATATTTATTTCTGAATGAAAATATATCCTAAGATATATGATAATTATTCTAAGCATAGTTATTTCTTCATAATTCCTAGACAGAGTAAGAGAAAGAAAATCAAATGAGATAGTAAAATAAAATCTCTTGTGCATTTTACCATTTCATATAGGACAAGAAACAACATCAATTAATGGAGGAATGAAAATAAAGACTCCAAAAGACTTATTTAATAATAACTGGCATGTCCTATTCTGATTATTAAGGAAAAATATTTTATGGAAAAACTTCAAACAATGCAGGCAACTCACTCTGTTTGAGGAGCAGCAATGCAACCAAGCAGTGTTTGAATGTAACTACTTACCAGTCCTTTACAATAGTTTTTCTATTCTGACATAATTAAAATAACTGTAATCCCAGTATCACAAGGTTTCCAAAGACCTAATTGATAACTGCATAATTTTCTTTAAATATTTATTTTTTAGTTATGAGTGGACACAATAGCTTTATTTTTATTTTTATATGGTGCTAAAGATTGAACCCAGTGCTAGGACAGCAGTCTACCTCTCAGCCACAATCCCAGCCCCCTGATAACTGCATAATTATAAATAATGAAAACACCTCATTGGATGAAGATCAAACATAGGTGGTTGAAGTTCTCCAAGTTCAATTGCAGTTATTCCCACAGCCCAGATATCACAGAGTTGGTTATAGCCACCATTCTTCTCTACTGCTGCAACTTCTGGAGCCATCCTAGAACCAATGAATGAACATAATATTTTCATTTTCAAAAAAATACTACTTCTTTTTATAACCATTAGATTTGGATGGAAAATAAGCTAAGAGCTCTTTACTAGGAAAGAAGAAACTTTACCAGGAAAGACAACACACACACACACACACACATTCTCTCTCTCTCTCTCTCACATACACACATATACATACTCTTTTAAAATTTATTATTTAGGGCTGGGAATGTGGCTCAGGCGGTAGCGCGCTCGTCTGGCATGCGTGCGGCCCGGGTTCGATCCTCAGCACCACATACCAACAAAGATGTTGTGTCCGCAGAGAACTAAAAAATAAATATTAAAAATTCTCTCTCTCTCTCTCTCTCTCTCTCTCTCTCTCTCTCTCTCTCCTCTCTCTCTTTTAAAAAAAATTATTATTTAAAAATCTTGAATACTGGTGATCTGAGAAAAACCTTGCTTTTTACTTTAGTTTGTGTTAGGTGAATCTTGTTATGTAATACAGGAAAATGAAAAAGAATACCTAAAACACTGTGAAGATCACAGAAAACTTCCCAATGGAGATAAGACTTAAAAATGAATCAGCAGGGAGCTAAGTTGAGTGAAGAGTCATTTCAGATTGCAAATGCAGGAAGACAAGGAAAGCATATGAATCACCTAAAGGGCTGCTGGTGCAGGGCAACTCAGTATGTGTGATCCACAGATGAGATGGGCTGTACACAGCTAGTTATCATTCGGCAATAAGTACAGAAAGAGTAAGCATTCTCCCTTGTCCAAATGTATGATCAATTTTTAGCAATTCATTTTTATTTTATCTTATAAAAGTATGCCTGTGATAGGAAATGGAAAAATATTATCCTTTGCAACAGATGTTTAAAGGGTCTAGAGAGTGTTCAGAAAATAAACCTTAGAAGCTAGATTATGAATGACCTACTGATTACAAAAGAATGTTTTATTTAGATTTTCTAGACCCCCTTGAAAGATTCAATTATGACAGCAATCTTAATCCAGAACTCATGACAACATGAAGGACAGTGTGAGAGGAGGAAAAAACAGTCAGATAGGTGAGTTTGATAACTATTTCAAGTATACCAAGGAAAAAAGAAAAAGGACTTTTAGAAGGCTATGGTAGAATGAATAGGATAAAAAGGGCTGACTGAAGATATTGTGACCTGAGTGTAAAACACTTGTAAGATCCTTAAGTAGAGCTATTATCAAGTATATAGAAGACTGAAGGTCAACTGAGTAGCTGAGTTGCAGTTACTTGGGAGTAAGAGGTATATGACGGCATCTGACATTATACAGTACAAATGATACCACCCAGAAGAAATGTTCTTTTTATTTCAACATTTACTATTTAGAATTAACTTATATTTATATTGAATATCCACAAGTTGCTTTTATATGCATTTAAGTTACAAAAAGTTCTCTTAACACACTTTCAACTCAAGTGTGGTTAATGATATGTAAGATATATACTAAAAATGCTAACCTATAAATGTATATACTACATGTGAGTTCTATATACATACTAATGGATCCAGGACTGAAGAGAAGAAAATGATTACTATGGAGCTGAAGATTAAAGGCAAGTTTCATACAGGAAAGGCTGAGCTGGAGCATAGAAAAAGCAAATCAATTTCATTTCCTCTGCCCACTAGAATCATTTAGTGGTGGCTAACAGGAATGCCAGGCTAACACTATTGTGCTTCCTGGCTTAGCTACTGACCCATCAGTTTTCCATAGGTGATGAAAAGCAGAGTGTGTCACTCTTTGCAATGGGGAGAACTTATAAATGCATATAATAGCAGTATTTCACATAGTATGATTAAGGTAGAAAACCAGAAAATTCTGACTGGAGAAGAGTGTTTACAACAGAAGAGGGAAATGGGAATTTCACTGAAGGGAATTCTATAGATAACCCAACTTACCTGCATTTTCATATAACATTTACTGGGGATTTCCTGTTATTAAAAGCAGTGTATGGTAACTGAAGAGAATTTGGAATACATGAAAAAAATATGGAAAACAAGTGAAGCACAATCTCAACCAAAACAGTCATTCTTTCACACATTCTCATTCATACTTTTAACTTAAACATGTCTTTTATGAAACACATCTTTTAAATTCCCTTGCATATGCTACTTTTTAAAATTGTTAATGGATCTTCATTTTATTCATTTATTCATATGTGGTGCTGAGAATGGAACCCAGTGCCTCACACATGCTAGGCAACTGTTCTACCATTGAGCTACAACCCCAGCCCGCATATACTTTTAATCTTGATATTTTGATTAGTAATCTGCCATAAACTTAATCCACTGACTATTCATCTTTTACAACATAATTTTTAACATTTTTAGCATATTCTTCCTTTGAATTGAGAAGATGTATATGATTTTCTTAACTTATTGCAGGAGGTGACTCAGTTGTAAAGCACCCCTGGGTTCAAGCTTCATTACCGAAAATTAAAAAAAAATTTAAAAACCCCCAAAAGTTGCTTATGATTTTTGAAAACATCACAGCTAAATTACTTTTCAAAAAAAATTTATTTTCTCTCAACTTATTATTTATTTTTCCTAGACAAGCAACAATTTATTCTGGGTTATGTATAAACACTTTGAATAAAGTATTCAGTTTACAGAAGACTTTTCTGCATCATTCCTAATTAAATTGAGTTTTCAATAACATAGGCTTACTTTATCTATTTTTTTACTAGAGCTTTAAGGTTATACATGGTTTGGGTTAATCCTGAAAAACTCATACATGCATGATAGTCAATTTCAGTTTCTTCAAAAATTTTCTATCAATTTTCACAAATATTTAGTGATAGAGGGGATGATTCATGATTCCAGATGTTTTCCAATTTGATAGAAAAGAATATCATTGTTCACTTTATATTTTTGTTCATCAAGGGAAACACTTTTCATATTTTGTGACTTCTTATATATATTAATTTAATAACTCTGCTTTTAATAAAACAGTCTACTGACTTTTAAGAACTTACATATTGAAGTATTAAACCTAGGGTGGCATATTTTAGCCAGTATTTCCTATTTTATTACTTAAATTTTAAGGTGGCAGACATGCTTGTTTTAAATTTTCATGTAAAAAGTGATCAATCTTTCCCTTTAAGGTTTTATGCCAAGAAAGCTTCTTCACCTCTTAAAGCAAATAATTAATGATAACTATTTTGGCATTAGGTATGAAGTATGAAGCTACTTTGTGAATAATAAATTATCKAAATTATTATCTGCTTATAAAAGAATCTAATTCTTTATATGAATTGTCAATTTCTTTTACAATAACTAAATTATTTTACATATTAAGATTTATTGACTTGTCTCCTATTGTATTTTTTTCTAAAATACTAAAACAGTATTTTAGAAAGAGTAACTTGCCAGTAACTGGAATTATTAAGTATAGAGATTGATCATTAACCATGAAGAGATAAAAATGTACCAATCACAGTAATCTCTTACCAATAAGGTGTGCCAATGAAAGATTTTCGCTTTGCTATAGTAGCTGTTATTTTTGCAGCAACCCCAAAATCAGCTAATGAGGAAAAAGAACAGAACAGAAAATTTTAATTCTTTTTAGAACAAGTGATGTTTCTAAGTTTCAGTTTCAGTAATGTTATAGGCATAGCATTATTAATAGTTCAGATATTTACATCAGGTAATTGTACATAAATTGAATACCTAAATATTTCCTAGTTTATAACAAACTCATTAAAAGAATTCAATAGCATTTTACTATAGTGCAAATGTACTTTATTAAGAACAAAGTGAATAAAAATATTTTTATTACAGGCTTACTGAAGTAAATTTGGGGAAGAAGAAGAAGAACAACAACAACAACAAGACCATTAAAACAAATGAGAAAGACACATTTCTGAATTCCTTTTTATCTTAACAACAGATAAAGCTATTTTTAAAAATGTCCTTTTTGCTGGGTACAGTGACACACACCTATAATCTCAATGGTTTGGGAGGCTGAGACAGGAGTATCTCGAGTTTAAAGCCAGCCTCAGCAATGTCGAGGTGCTTAGCAACTCAGTGAGACCCTGTCTCAAATAAAAAATAGAAAATAGGGATGTGGCTCAGTGGTAGAGTGCCCATGAGTACAATCCCTGGTACCAAATGAAAAAAACAAAAAAGGACCTTTTTTCTAAATATAATTTTTTATATTGTTTTGTCATTAAAAAGAGTTATAAAAAAACAAATACACATCTAGTTCATTTTTGTCATTTAATATATCAGGCGATTGTACTCTCATATATTAAAAAAATTGCTGATTGGATAATATTCCATGAGTGATAAAATGTAGTTTAACAGTTTTTCTATTGCTAGACTTAGGTTTCTATTTTTTCTACTATGAGTAATAATGACTAAATACTTATATAAATCTGGTCTTTTCATCTTTAGGATTAACTTCTATAAACTGAGTCTCAGGAATAAATATTACTGGGCTAAAGTATAAACATTGTGATTCAATATGAATATTAAAATTAAATGTCAATTCTCATCTAAAATTTCATTAAATTTTTTGAAAAAAAAATTAAAAATTTGAAATAACATACCTAATTTTACATCACCATGGTCTGTCAATAAAATATTTGCACCCTAAAACAAAAATACAAATTCTATTAAATTAGCATCAAAAATTTCTACCAATACAATTAGCAATTTAAACATAGTAAATGAACTTACTTTGATATCTCTATGCATTTTGCCTTTAGTATGCAAATAGGCAAGACCCTGAGGTTTAAAAAAAAAAAGGATGTGTTAGCAAAATTACAAAGTTGACTCCAAAATTTTCTACTTAGTTCTCACTGAATAAAAAAACTAGAATAGAATGTCTTTCTTAGAGGGATAAAAATTAGAAGAGTTTCTTTTTACCAATCAACATTTACTATATCTTAAAGATTTTTAATTCATTTTCTGATAAAAATTGGAAATATTTTACTAAAACATAATTTTGAATGAATCCATTTATCATTCATAAATAATGAATTATTTATCTCTTAGTTCTTTTGGCTTTTATACGTATGAAAAACTATTTTTTTTTAAGTTCTACATGGGCTCATTATCTTTATTTTGTTTATTTTTATGTGGTGCTGAGGATCAAACCCAGGGACTCACATGTGCAAGGCAAACGCTCTACCGCTGAGCCACAACCCTAGCCCCTGAAAAAATTATTTTTAAAAGATATTTTTTCTACATATTGAACTCTAGATCAACAATTTCTTTTTACCTTTAGGCTCTCCACTGTTGTCTTAACTCTTTCTAATGATAATCCTGCCATCATCTTTTTGTTTGCATATAATGTATTCTTTTGTTCTAAGAATTTCTAAGGTTTTCTCATTATCAAATGAGCAATTTGATGATGATATTCCTTAGTATGCTTTCCCCCCCATGTTTCCTATCCTTGGTTTGTTTTATGCTTGTCTATGAATTAAGAGTGTTCAATAAATTTGGGGAAATATCAGCCATGTTTACTTTTCAAATATTGTTTTCATTCCTTTCTCTCCCTTTTTGTCTTCTCCTTCAGTAAGAAAAACTATACTAATATTAGGTCACCTGAAATTACATTTTAATAATTTTATTTTTTGAGATCAGGTCTTGTGTTTCCCAGATTAGCTCTGAAGTCCTGGTCTCAAGCAATCTTCTGACTTGAGCCTTCTGAGTTGTTGGAACTATGGGCTTCTAATACCATGCCTGGCTTTTCATTTTTTAAAAAAATCATTTATTTCTGTGCTTCATTTTGGATACATTTTTTGACAAACATACCCTCAAATTCCCACAAATGTACATATACATACAAACACACACTCACATATGTGTATTTTTCAATATCTAAACTACCATTAATTCCATCCCTTGTTGAGTTCATCATACATTGTAGTTTTCATCCCTAGAAGTTTGATTTTGGCCTTTTTTTTTTTTTTAAACATCTTCTGTACCTCAACTTAAATTAGCTTTCTTATCTTATTTGCTAATTCTAGCATCTTATCAGTTGTGAGTTAGCTTCATTGATTTCTCCTTATTATACTTCTTTGCATTTCTGGTAATCTTTGGACACCCAACATTATGAACTTTGCTCTTTGGGTACCGCATATTTTTGGATTTTAGGGGCAGGTGGTAGGAATTGAACCTAGGGACATTATATCCCTGAGCCATATTTCCAGTCCTTATTTATTTTATTGTTTTATTTTGAGATAGGATCTCCCTAAATTGSTAAGGCTGACCTCGAACCTGCAATCCTCTTGCCTCAGCATCACGAGTTGGCTAGGATTAAAGGCATGCATCACTGCACCTGGCTGGTATGTTTCTGGATTTTTATAAATACTCTCCAGTACTTTATCCTGAAGACTCTAGCTGCCTTGGTCTCCCTGCACCAGACTTGGGTTCTTCCTCCCTGTACCAGGGCCTGCTCCTTGTTTCTCTCTCAGGCCTTTAATACTTGAGGTCATCTCTCTTTTGTGGTGCTCAGGATCAAAGCCAGGGCTTCATGCGTGCTAGGCAAGTACTCTATTAATGGGCTACATCCCAGCCTCTATGTCCAGTTTTTAAAAACCACTATTTCATATATGTTTCCTAGTTTCTTTGATTGTTTCAGGGAACAAGGTACATGTTACTCTGTTACTCCATTTATACCAGATGTGGAAATCTGTTAAACCGAAACTATTTTAAATTTAGAAATCATTCCCTACAAAGCTCATTATATTTGGGGAACTAGAACCATATAAGCTAAGGTTATATATCAGATATAGAATGAAATCCAAGCTGCTGTTTTTTCACTTCCACTCTTAAAGAAACAATGAACTTGGAAATTAAAATATGAAGAAAATGAATTTATCAATAATTCTCTACTATGAGTACATGGTTAGGTTTATATTTTATGTAAATATAATAGATTTTTATGTTATATAAATACCTTGGGGAAAACTATAAAGTTAGCCCTCCATATCCATGATTTATGCATTCATGGATTTAACCAACCATGGACTAAAATACTTTTGGGGAAAAAAGTCTGTCCTAAACATATAGACTCTTCTTTTTTGTCATCCTTAAACAATACAGTATTAATAAATATTTATATAACACTTATATTGTCCTAGGTATTATAAGTAATCTAGAAATGATCTGAAGTATACAAGAGGATGTGCATAGGTCACAAGCAAATATTACACTATTTAAAAAAATTTTTATAGTCGTAGATAGACAGTATGTCTTTATTTATTTTTTAATGTGGTGCTGAAGATTGAACCCAGTGCCTCATACATGCATACATGCTGTGCAAGTGCTCTGCCACTGAGCTAAAGTCCCAGCCCAAATATTATACAATTTTATATAAAGGATTTGAGGATGTGCCAATTTTGGTATCTTAAAGTATCCTGGAACCAATTCCCCATGGATACCAAATGATGACTACACACACACACACACATATACATGCACATGAATATAAATACTAAATTTACTTTCATATATTTCACAGTAAGATCTGGCATGATGTACCCATTTTTAAAACTATATGGAAACTAACTTTATAAACTAATTAGAACTCTCTCCTAGATCTGTTCAAACTCCTAGTTTATAAAGTATGGAAGAGCCACATATAAAATTATCAATTAATGATTATCAGTTATAAATTTTTAAAAAATGAAGACAAAAACCCTACAGTTACTACTTAATTCCTCCTCCTCATCTAAATGCCTTAAAGTATATGAACAAAGTTATTAATTGCTAATTTTCTCAATGAGTCGTCTTCAAGGGAACTATAAATAAATAAATAATAAATAAATAAGCAAGCGACATGCCCTATACCTCTACTGCAGATCCACTTTAGTATACTAAAGTATACTAAAGTTCCTGAAGTAAAGAAGCAAAGCCATTTGTTGAACACAAACTTAGAGAAAGGGGTTCTGTTTCCAATGACATGTATTAATATCACATAGAATTAGGTATTCCAGATAGTGCTCTGGATTATTACTACACAAATTTAGTTTATTTTGGGAGAAATGGTTCATATTCTCTGGAAGAGATAATTTTCACTGCTATAAAACTTCAAGGGAAAGCTTAGACAATTTTACAATTGAGAAGTCTGGTGATTCATTCACGAAAACAAATTTGTACCCATGGCTTTCCTTAGCTTTGAAGCAATGTGGGTCAAGCAACAAAGTAGACTACTTTAAATGATCACTTGTATTAGCATGAAAGCAGAACACCTCTTACCACCACTGCATATGTCAGCATCAGCTTAAGTGAATTCTTGTGACTTGCTCATGAAAAAATACAACTAGTTTTACAGAACTATACTATGAGGTGGGAATTAAAAAATCATTTTGGCTTACCCTTTCTCTACAGTTATTGATTATGAACCAGAATTGCCTATCTACATAAGCAAACATAGTACCTGTAAGGTTTCTCTGCATACATAGGCTATTTGCAATTCTGATAATGGTCCAGTAACTAGAAAGAAAAAGACCACATTGTCATATGTTTGAACATAACAAATTAAAAATAGTCTACTTTTTAAAATGACAAACTATTGTAAAACTTCTCTATATTTCACTGAATGACTTCTCTTCTGACCAGGAACATACATTATCTTTGTAATCAAGAAACAAAACAAGAAAGGRTAATACTGAGACTGAAAATGTACTCTAAAAATAAGAAATTTATTCCATAACAACTTTAGTAAGTGAAAATATTAAGCGCCCATTAAGTGTGAATAGGAAGTTCTGTAGAAAGCAATGGACATAATATGATCTCAATTCTGAAAAAATTTTTAAAAATAAAGCCAAAAAACTTGATAAACATATATAACTAATGACAGTTATATATGTTTATCAAGCACAGACAGTTTGGTTACTGAAACACTGAAAAGCATCATCACTTTTTTAAACATAAAGATATTATCTCTTTAGCATAATTCTTTACCATACCTGTCAAGACAGGGAGGCTTGATCCGGTACCTTATCTGAGAATTTAACAGTAGCTAGATCACTTTTGGCAACCAGATCTCTCCCTCCCTAATATGAACTATAAAATCCCTCTTATGCAAGTACCTAATAAGAGACTTGGAACTCTTGTCTTTCAATACCATGAGAGAAAATCTGGGATGGTGTTTGCTGACAGTGAAACCCAGGTAGTTACAGTAATCTCTGCCTAGAAAAGCATTTCACTGCACATTTTCATCACTGCGTTTCTACACCTACTTAGGAATAAAACTCTGATTCTTAGTAAATTGATGGACTAGTAGTAATACAAACCACTTTTTTAATAGCATTTAATTTATAAGTGTAGATATTCTTGACTACTTTTTTTTTAGGATACTATTTATAGAAATGCACACTTCTTGGACTCCAATTAACAGCAATTTTATGAAGGAATAAAATTGATGTCTCAAAATAACTTTTTAAAATTAAAAGGGAAAGCAGTAAAAACTGCCATCTGTATAGTTTAATTTTATCCATATTCTTAAGAGTTCTCATTTTATAAAAGTGTAAACAGATAAAAATTACAATTAAATTAAAACTTCATATAAAGATTATTATTCTTCATAAAATCATAGATAAGGATTTTAAATCAGTAGCATAGAACTGTTTTCTACCAATAATCTCTATTTTTTAGCAATACTGGGGATTGAACCTACTGATCTCGACCACTGAGCTACATTGCCAGTCCTTTTTATTTTGAGACAGAGTTTTGCTAAATTGTTGAGGCTGGCCTTGAACTTGTAATCCTCCTGCCTCAGCTTCCTGAGTAGATGGGATTATGGGCAGGTGCCACTGTGCCTAGCTTACTGATAATTCTTTAAAACCAAAAACAGGATAAAAGAGAACAGTCATTCCAGTTTTGCATTATATAAGAAAATGAAAGACTACTAAATAAGAGATTAATAAGCATTTGTTTTTTAAAAGTGGGATTTGTTCTTATTTTGAAATTCTTAAGAGTAGAAATTGTAATGTCTATGTGTAACATTTATGTGGTAAACCTTTTTTTTTTTTTTTTTAAATAAAGAGATAGTGACCAGCACCTTTTTGTTATGGGTTATTTGTTATAAAAATTAGATAACTACTATATTAAAAGTTTATAATGAAGTAATATATCAATTAATTTTTATTATAATTCAGAATTTTATATCTGAGTCCTGCTTTCTCTCCTTAGGAGTACTGACTTATCTGTCTGGAATGCAGCCTTTTGTTTTACTTGCATTTACATTCATTCATATGTATACTTACAAAAAAATAATTTTTGAAAGCTTTAGTATGATTAACCATGCTATATTTATTATTGAGGATTATTTAAGTCAATATACAAAGCCATTTCATTGTTTTAAGTGCTACAAAATATTCCATATCACAAGTACAGTACAGTTTATTCAACTGATAGTCTACTGAGTTTTTTTTTTTAAACTTTGACTTCTACAAGTTATAAAATATTATATAAACTGAAACATCACTTCTGTTTTTATATTATGGCTACATTTGAAAATTACATGGCTAAAATTCAATAAGGCTTCCATTGTAAAAATTCAAAATAAAAATATTTTAAAATATTTCACATAATTATTCTTTTTTTTTTTGGTACCAGGGATTGAACCCAGGGATGCTCAACTCCTGAGCCACATCCCCAGTCCTTTTTATTTTGAAACAGAGTCTTGCTAAGTTGCTGAAGGGACTCACTAAGTTGCTGAGGCTAGCCTTGAACTTGTAATCCTTCTGCCTCAGCCTCCAGAGCCTCTGGGATTACAGGTGTACACCACTGTGCCCAGCCACATAATTTAATAACAGACTAAGAATAAATAACAAACTCTGCATATTTGCAATGGGAGTTTTACTATCTCACATGCATGTTAAACAAGAAAAAATGTTTTAAGGATACAATCTTAATTTTACAAATTCTAGAAAATTCAAGACATTGTAAATAACAAAACAAATTGGAAACTAACTATAGAGCCAAATTATTTCTAAATATTATTATTAAGCAAAGTCAACTAAAAAAACTGCCTAATTAACAGAATGCTAAATAAAATACCCCAAATTTTAAAAATAATCATACATTTTAATGCAAAGTTATTACAGTAACAAGTGAACTATTTTTCTGGTTAGACAGTTAAGTTATTAAGATAGATACATAGTTTCCCTTGTGAATTACTCTTCAATTCTTGTAAGGGAGGTTAGGCAGTTTCATTAGTAAACAAAACACTTTCCTAGAGACTACATCTAAAAAAATCTAAAAAGTAAAATTTGGATTGTAAAAATGCTTTTGAATTTCTTGGTTCTGGCTCCACCAACAACACAAATCTTAGGTTTCTTTTATGCAGTACTCTGGAAACAGAAGAAAAGAATATAAAAGAGTAAATCTCTACATATTAATTTCCCGGGTGACTGGAAATGTTAAACAATAATCATTAATGTCAAAGTCAATTTTAAAGTATAAAGTTAAATTCACAGTACCATGATAAATATCTTGAAGTGATCCGCCACCACAGTATTCCATACAAATCCACAGTTTTTCTCGACTATTATGAAGAGAAAATTATATTAGCTGGTAATTTTCAATCACTGAAGTAAGTATTCTAAGGCTTACACTCTTCCATACATCAAGAGTCAGGATATAGTGCAGAGGGCAACAGGAAACTGCTGTAGCAATCTCTTTTCAATATGCAGGAAAGCACATCAGTTTCAGTTTAGTTCCCATCTTAAAGGTTTAGATTATGAATAGTTTTGTAAGATAAATACTTTAATCATTCATAATATTTCATTAAGGTTGCCCTAGGGTATAACCAAATAAAGGAGGTACTTTAATATAATAGAGAAAAGAAAGCCCTAAAAATTTTTAAACTTTGGATAGTGTAATTTAAAAGTTCCCACATACAATGGCACCTACCTGAAAAGGAAGGAGAGTGGTAGCAAAGAAGATATAAAATACAGACAGAGCAGATGCTTTGTTTCTTACCTGAGATAGCTTCCAAAGTAGGCAACAATGTTGCAATGTTTACATTCTTTAACCATAAATATTTCTTGTTGAATCAAAGAAAAATCATCTCCTGAAAACAAAGTAAGTTGGTCATCATGTTACTCAAAATCTCTACATAGGGAGGAAGAAAGCCTTTGCAATAAATAGAGATGAGGAATTCAGCATTCTTCATACATCAGTAAGGTCTAAGGCCTAAAAATGTACAAATCTTTGAATCAACAGTTGCTTCAAAAGTATTCTTCTTAAGGAGATATGCACAGAGACAGATTAGTAAACATCTAATGTTTACTGTGGTGCTGTAGTTTAATAAATTATGGTACGGTTTACAGTTACTCTTAAATTCTAAATATAAAAACATGTTCACACTAAGTGAAAAGGGAAGATTTATATATAATCACTTAAATACATATAAGCACAGAAAGTGTTTAAAACATGCAATGGTTATGCACAGGAAGTAAAATTCATTTTACAGTCTTTTTTATCTGTATTTTCCAATATTGATATATTATTATGGGAATTTTATGATAGTTATGAGACTACTACCTAAGTTATGATAATACTGTAAAGATTGTTACATCAAACACTATTTTATGTCAAAGTGTTGTTTATTTCAGTAAAAGGCATGTATGAACAGGTAGAATGATTGTATGTGCATATCTAAAGGTAGCATAATATAGCGAATAAGAGCTTGAAATCTGGAATAGACACATCTGGATTAAAATCCTGGTACAGAAATTCACTAGAATTTCAGCAACTTGATCCTTCTGAGTTAGGTTCATTTGTTAAGTAGCATCTGGATTTATTCCACTATTTAGCTTTCTTGTATACCACATATCCTTATATTATCTACATTTCAGTAGTAGAAAGTTGCTGATGATTTTGGTAATCGATTCTTATGCCCCTATGTTTTTGATTATGTATTTCCCTCAGTTGGGAATGTTATTGAGAAAGTTACTGTACCTATGCATTTAGCACATTTGAGAGAATAAATACAACAGTAATATTACTACATGTTAGAGACAGAGGGATTTTTAAAAATATGTTCTTCATTAGGACATCATTATAACAATATTTTTATTAGATATTGTTTTACAGTAGTCTTTTGAAAAGCAATGGCAGATTTAAAAATCAGTGGTACTCAGATGGATTCTAGCTTTAACTTGAAGTCATCTTAAAAAATCGCACAGTGTCAAGAAAGGAAAACTGTGAAATCAGGCCTTAGATAAAGAAACAAAACATTTACACAAGCCAGGGATAGTTCCCATTTGTATTTTCAATTCTTTCAATTCAGATATAAAACAAAACTTTAAATATTTTTGCTATGCAATAAGTACCCTTTAAAGAATTAATCATTGATGTGACTGAAACAAACTAGTTTAGCTATCATACATGCAATTTATTTGTAATCTAAAAACTCTTTTCAACAATCACTGCATATAAACATTAACTGAATTTAGTCATAGGATTTAGTGTTAACAATTTTACAGGATTAAGTCAGACGAATGAGGGTGCAATCTTCTACTGCATAAAATTCTGAGTAAAAAATCTTTATAGCTTTTACTTGTAAACTGGGAAATATGTAGTGCATAAATCATTACATATATCTTAAACTTAAGTTTAATGGTCAGCCAATGAAAGGGGATCAGTAAGGTTACAGTAAGAGTCTGCCTACCTCAGTGGAAAGGCACTGTTTCCTGTGTCTACTAATGAGCACCAGAATATTGTTACTCTTGCCTGAGCCTTTTCCATCATAGCATTAGAACTCATTCTTTTTCCCCTCCAGTATTGGGCATTGAACCTAGGATTCTCTTATCATTGAGCTACATTCTCAACCCCCTTTACTTTTTATTTTGAGACAGGGTCTCAATAAATTGCCTAGCCTTGCAATTCTCCTGCCTCAGCTTCCTGAGTTGCTGGGATTGCAGGCATGTGTGACTGCACCAGCAGAACTTATTCTTTACATATACCAATGTCCAACAAACTGGCTACATTCTACCCTTCTCTTAGTTTTATCAAGAGGCCCTGAAGCTTGGCATGGTGGCATATTCATGCAGCCCTAGCCCTTTGAAAACTGATGTAGGATGGTCTCTTGAGCCAGGAGTTCAAGACCAGCCTGAACAACATGGGGACATCCTGTTTAAAAACAAACAAACAAACAACAACAACAAAAAAAAACGGTATGTGGGTGGGGTAGAAAGAAGGAAAGAAGAGTAAAGAAGCACTTAACTTCATTAGTGTACGATATTCTTTGTATTTCCACTTACTAGCTCTTAAATGTGCATAGAAGTCTTACATCTTTGCTGTACTTAAAAAAAAAAATTCAATTAAGTCTGGGATTTAAAACAGATTTTCTCACATATGGTATCTAACTTTTCAATGGTGTCCAAATACTTAAGTTGACCTATATATGTCAATAATATAGCTAAATTAATGCTACTAGAAACAAACCACTACTTAGTAGAAAAAATTGGCTTAGTGCCATCCCAAGACTATGCTCCAGGCAGAAATTATGTGCAGTGTCTACCAGGAAAGGTGGGGTCTTAGTGCAAGTGAGCTACTAATTTTTACAGTGTAACTGGAAGCAAGACTTCACAAGTACCAGTCACTGATAATGACAATGTCTGGGGACTGTAGAATGTTAAATGGAATGTCATTTCTAATAGCATATTTTCTTTGGAATGCCCATCTTAGATTCTGAAAACTCATCTAGAGAGAAAAATCCCTCCAAAAACTCATCTGGAGAGAAAATACCTATCAGTATCAGCAATTTAGATTGAGTTTGAACATTAATTTAGAATGACATCGAAGGTCATTTTTTTTTACTACAAAGTAATAAAAAAGTATCTTCATTTTTATCTTGTGTTCAAAAGCAAACTTAGAAACAGTATCTAAGCATCAAAAATGATTTTAACATATTTTTAAAAATATGTAAAATAACACAAAGTTTCTATTTTCTATATTTATAATTTAAAACCAATAAAAGTAACATTTTTGTTGTGCATCTATTCCCTCAAATTAACATTTATCATCCACTCAGACTCAGTGTTCAGACAGTGAAGATAGAGTACAAATATTTTATTTTACTGCTTACTTTTAGAAGTCAAGATTGTAAACTTCTTAAATAAGAGTTTCTATAAAGCAAGATCATACCACTAAATTAGATAGAATAGCTGACACTTGGTCTATTTGGCCAAGTGCCTGCTTTAACAATTGTTTAAAAACATGCACAATGCGAACTAATGACTGTTTAAGTCTTTGTACATGTCTTGACTTTGTTCCATTTTCTCTATTTTCTCAGCTTATATTTCCAGGAAACAGGACGAAGTATTTCCTGGCAGTATAAGAAAAATTTTAAACATTTATTCAAAGGTATTTAAAGGTGCCTACTTATTTTGAAAACTCTTTGAACTAAGGAGTCATAACTAACTTGTCATTTTATTTAAAAATACTCGACTCTTTCATGAATATTTCCAATTTAGCATTTAAAAAACTGAACAAGCAAACAGTAGTATGTTACACTAATCATACAGGGCAGTGATTTTCTTAAAATTCCATCCCTTCTAAGCAACCATCACAATATTTAACATACTACAATTCGCCTAAGTTTAAAAGTATTGTGTAGTTTCACCATAAAAGAGGGATAATGGAATGAGAGGAAAGGAGAAAAGAAAAGTTCTAATGGTCAACTTTCCCAGGAATTTTGTTCCTGCTCTGGTTGTTGGCCACCAAGAGCTACAGACTTTTGAGCAAAATAAGGATCTGTAAAATACATTAAACAGTAGGATGAAATTCAGACATAAGACAGGAAAACATGGTGACACACATCATAATATCTGTCTGCTTTTCTAAGGCATTCCTAAAGCCTGACAAAAGAGATGAAAAATGCAGCTAACACAACAGTATCTTTCTGGGTAATATTTTCAATGCTGATCAATGGTAAGTCAAATTCTATGCCACATTGTATTAAGATGGTGACCATATTTAATAAGTATTACTATAAAAATGTATTAGAAATGGATAAAATATTCCTGAAAACAATCATTTTCTATGTATATGAAGGGCAACAAGAACATAGCGACATAGGAAAGAATGCTGACTTCATTTTTTTTTCACAATTTATTTTTATTTTTGTAGTGCTGGGGTTTGAACCCAAGTCCCCAAGCACACAAGGCAAGCACTCTACCGCTGAACTACAGCATGATCCCTTTTACAATCATTTTTGTGGATAATTAAAAAACCAATTCTCTATGCTAACTCATTTTTATTCTTAACTCTAAGGCTTACTTAGTATTTTTAAGACTAGTAAGAAGAACCTCAAAGCAATCTGTTTCAGTAAAATTTTGACTATACCATTATAATAAAATGAAACTGCAAGGGATAATCAGTAAATCTACAATAAAATTTAGAACTCCAAAATAATTATAAACTCTATTTTTTTTTAAGAGAGAGTGAGAGAGAGACAGAGAATTTTTTAATTTTTATTTTTTAGTTCTCGGCAGACACAACATCTTTATTTGTATGTGGTGCTGAGGATCGAACCCGGGCCGCATGCATGCCAGGCGAGTGCGCTACCGCTTGAGCCACATCCCCAGCCCTAAAAACCCTATTTTGAACTCTGTGTGTGTGGGGAATTGTGCTTTTAAGCCTACAGCTGGGATTTCCATTTACTTAAAAAAAAAATCTTGTTTATATTTTATCAAACATAAGGCTTTTCTAAGTTACAAAAGCAAATAATTATCTTTTCATGTCGAAATATAATTCTAAATAGATTCATCTGTTAAATCAATACAAGGAAGCACTTTTCTATTATACTAGCTTTAGTGCAATGTTTTTAAAGCTGCTAAATACAGTTAAGAATTCATTTTTTAAAATACAGCTGCCTCCAGATTTTTTGAAGTATCTGAACTAAATATTAGAAACATTCATTAGTACCATCATAGTTATGACCTAAATATTACCTTATGTCTGTTCAAAAATGTGAAAAACCCCATCTACTTTAGTTTTATTGACAATGTTAAACAAACATTGATCCCTCTCAAAAATTCTATAGCAATAAAAAAAAACAGCATA